TCTCTTGCCGTTTTAAGTGACGTCATTTTACACGATTGGGCGTGTTAACTTATAATTTAACACGATTGAACGTTTTAACCGTAGTCTAAAATGGCGAGAAACATTTAAAAAGAGCCTCGGTCAAATTTTCAGACGTTTTAGACTTCTTAGACATTAATGCGTTTAAAAATAACACACTTCGGTTTGCAGTGTAGTTGCCGAATCACGATCGTCGATTCCACTGTGAATCCACTGCGGCAACCGTATAATTAATTCAACATACTAAACGTGGTACTTGAAGCAACGTTCGTTCAGTAGCACAATTTCATCGATTCTACTTCACTTTTCTCCTCGTTGCGCGCTGAAAAATGATCGGACCCGCCTGACAACCGGCCGCCGGGGGAAATTTCCAGTTCCCACGAACCAAATTTGGTTCCTGCAATCAGAAATGCCGCTTCCTTCGACCAAAAAAATAGAAAAGCGCGTTCGGTCGTCCATCGTTCATTTCTCAGCGTACACGCTTGGAGAAACCAAATTTTGCTGGAACAGCAAATGTTTGTCAAATATAGTGACAATAAAGAAAGATTTGTTCAGACAGCAAAAAAATTGTTTAGGCAGCAAAAAAATATTATTAAGGGTGTTGATTGCTATTTGCTGGACAATTAATATTCTTAACAAATCTTTTTGTATGGAGAAAATACGTTTCGCTGGAACAGCAGAAGTCGTTCGTTAATACAGAGACAGCAAAAAAATTTGTCCAGCGGAAAAAGAAATTTTGCCGTTGCAGCAAAACGTCGTCGAGACAACAATAAAATTTTATTTGGCGCAACCAAATGATTTTGCTGTCCAATTCCAAATATATCCAATTGCAAATAGCGATTAACGCTTTTAACAAATCTTCCCGCTGTCCGGACAAATTTTTCTTTGCTCTCACTACGTTAACAAACAATCTTCTTTTCATCACCATGAATTTTTTCCCTTAGTCGGCTGCAAGGAAAAAAGTTACAAAAGGGAAAACCAAGGGAAATTCCATTCAGCCGTTATCCCATCTAGACGTAAAATTGTGTTATTCGTCGCAAGAACGCGCGCATCGCCGGGACGATAATTGATACACGCGCGCGCGTTAATATCCCCCTTCCCCGCCCCGGCGGGGTGAAATTAAAACCGCCATCTCGTGACGCCGCGACGTGACGAACAAACGTTGCCTCACGCGCCATTATCGAGGTCATTCAACACTCCCTCATGACGCGACACGCGCGATACGCGTGGATTCTCCGCACGTTCAAATCGCCCGTCCGACCGCCGCCCTGCGTTGCTCGCGACATCCCGCTCTTTGTTCTTCCCCGATTCGTTCACACTGAGGAAACAAATTTTGCTGGAACGGCAAACGTTTGTCAAATTTAGCGAGGGCAAAAAAGAAATTTCTTCAGACAGAGATTGGGGAGATTTGTTAGGAATATTAATCGTCCGTGTATCCAGCAAATAGCAATTAACACTCTTAACGACATCTTTCTGCTGTCCAAACAAATTTTTCTTTTGCCGTCTGAACTCCGATTTTCTTTTTTTTTTGCTATCACTATATTGACAAACATTTATTGTTTCCGGCAAAATTTGTTTTCTCTATGCGAAGTGTAACGGCAATTTCCATTAAAATAAGGTAATTCGCGAATGACGCGGGTAAGCGTATTTACCGAGCTGACCTCCCCGCTCCCCCCCCCCNNNNCCCCCCCCCCTCCCCGCCTCCATTTGTACGCGTCGTCCAAACGGACAGAGCGGAGTCTCGCCTCTCTCTCTGTTTTTCGAAATTAACGGTAGCATCGTTTTAGCAATTTCAACGAGCATCTATTTGCACGCGCAGCGTTGCGATCTCTCCTCGCGTGATTTCAATAATAAATACGGCCTACATTTCGGATTTCGTTCTCGGTCTTGCACGGAGAAAGCGAGTTTCGCTGGGACGGCTAATTGTTTGTTGATACAGCGACAGCAAAGAAATTTGCCACACGGAAAAAAGAGTTCTGCCGTTGCGGCGAGACGTTGTATTGCGGCACAGCGATGAACTTTAGTCGGCATCAAATCAAATTATCTCGCTGTCCGTACATCCATATGTCCAATAGCAAACAGCAATTGATACTCCTGACAAATCTTCCTGCTGTCCGAACAAATTTTTCCCCTGCTGTCGTTGTATTAACAAACAATTTGCTGTTATAGCGGAATTTTTCTCCACGGAGAAACACCGTTTAATCGAATCAACGAAATTCTCGTTTGAATATGGGCGAACGAGCTTTCCGGTTGTGATAACCAAAACTTGGTCGTCCAAACCGAAAGCGTTTGGTTCTCTCAAATTTCAGAGAAGTTCTCGACAAACCGAAACTTTGGTTCGAAGAAGTAAGTCCAGCTTCTTGTAATCAACGAATTTGTTTTTTGTTGTTGTCCACATCCAAACAAGAATTCCGTCGACTCAACCAAATGCGATTCTCAGTGTGTATGTGTGTGTGTGTGTATTTTTTCCCTGAGGTACATATAGGCTAAAATACGATGCACACGATCGATTGGTTCAGGTGCGCGCGAAGCTTCACATAAATCCCTCTCGGGACGCCGATAGAGAGAGCGGCCAATCGAAGGTACCGTCCAGCAGACCGGTCCACTCTCGCCACTTTTCGAGCGATTATTTGCGCAGATCTTCTAATTAGAGCGTTTTTTACAACGAGAGGAAGACGGTGTATGTTTCGTAGGAGTACAGTCCGGTCAGAGGACAAACCTGAAGCGCATCATACCGAATACTCGGCGTTCTCCCCGCCCAGCCGCACGTCCCGAGTAGAAAAATGTTAGTGAAAAAACCGGTAGCTAGGCAGAAACTGGACGATTTTTACCGACTCGAACTTAACTAGACAGTAACTGTTCGGAAACTGTCGAGAAAATGCTGACTATTATTTCTCAGTCAGTCATTAGCCGTGAACTATTCCAAGAAAATAGTAAGTTAATACCGGACGATTTCAGTTCCCGGCGAAAACTCTTGAAATTCCGACTAGTGTTTCTCGGCCGTTTCCTCGCCGGAAACTCGACGAAATGACGAACAAGTGAAATAGTGAAAGAGTGAATGCTCAAATTCTTATTAGGAACTGGTCCGGAACTGGCTAGTTTCACTATCCAGTTATCGTCGAAGCAAAAGTCTCCCGAACTTGTACGTTTTTTACCGATGATCAGAAACTAGCTGGTTAGGGAATTACCGGCCCGTCACTGACTAGAAACTGGTTCAATTTCTACTCGGGACATTCTCCGCGAGACAATTTTCTTTCCGACGATAGCGTGTAGAATGTCGCTGCGTGCATCTTAACGAGCCATCTTCGGTCTGGTTTTCCCCAGGACGTTATTCTTTAGGAAAAGAATCCTGGAATCGTTTGGAACATCGTGTACATACATTCCCATCGCAAGTACACTGTGAATCCAAGTGTACCACTTTTACACGCATAAACGCATCAAAATGGCACACTTGGCCGGAGCTATTTTTAAACGTTTCTTTTGTCGACTTGACTTACGTCATTTAAAATTTAATTACGTTTAATCGTGTCAAATGACAAGATTGAAAACGACGTATATAAGAAATGGTATAGGAAAGGCTTCGGCTGAAAGATTTTTCCAGTGTATAAATAAAAATAGCGAAACAGCCCCCGACAAGAGAGAGAGAAAGAGAGAAAGAGAGAGAGAAACTTTTCATTTCGTAGTCGCGAATTCCTCGTGAATTCATTTTAAACCAACTGACCAATCGTAGTCAAATTATTCTCTCTCTCTTTCTCTCTCTTTCACACCATCGTTTCCCGGATCGGATTCACTCGCACAACTTTGGTCGTAAGTATTCGGTGGATGACCTAATTATTATTCGTCACTCAAGACTGACATTCTTAGCGTTAGGAAATATTTTCAACTTGGGACCCCCCGTAGAGACGCAGTTCATCGACCAGAGAAATTTCCACTGATGTGTGACAACGCATAACTCGATATTATCGTAAATACAGTATTATCGTAAATTCCCTTCAGGTGTTCGCGGCGCATCACAGTCGCTTCCTTTTTCAGGCCGATTGATCGGCCGACGGTGAAAAATCAGGCGCATACGTGGCCGATTATTTTATCGTTGAACGACGAGCGAGCGAAACGACTCTTGAATATTACGGTTGTTTCCACAACGTTCTTCCCCTCCCTCCCCCGCAATGATCCGTCACGAAACAATCGTTACTCGGTTGAACGAGACGAGTCTTTCACGCACGAATCGCCGTTGAAAACTGTCTAACTCGCCATGCCCGCTGGCGCTAAATCTCTTCCGAGGAGAAAAGCATTTAAATACACGCGTGTGAGGTGAAAAACGACGCCATACGACATGTCGCACGAGACGCGAATTATGTAATAATAATAACAATAATAATTCCGTCGACACGTCGGGACTACATGATGTCGTGCGTGACTGGCTGAGCTCAACGAGCANCTACATGATGTCGTGCGTGACTGGCTGAGCTCAACGAGCACACATTTCTCTCTCTCTCTCTCTCTCTCTCTCTCTCTCTCTCTCTCTCTCTCTCTCTCTCTCTCTCTCTGTGTGAATTATGTCGTGAATCAAAAAGAGAGAGAAAAGAAAAGAAGTAAGAAAATTTCACATTTCATCGGCACAATTTCGTATCTCTCGTGCAAACAACAAGATGAGTGATGCGAGATTGGACAAGATAATAGGAATGATGTTTCTATCGATGATAAGACCGAACGATAACGTAAGTGTAAATGATTTGTATTTGCGTGTCTCATGTTGTAGATAATAATCTTAATCCGCAATATAAACATCCGCGTTTCTACCAGATTCCACGCGAATTAGAAGCATCGCGAGAAATTTCGGAACGTTTCACGACCGCCGATGTCCTCGCCAAGATAGTTCTATTTTCATTCCTATTAACTTATGCCATTATTATTATTAGCATTAGTATTCTTATTAGTATTATTATTATTATTATTATTATATTATATTATATTATATTATTATCCTTGTTATTATTATTGGTTTACCATTACTATTACAACCTTTTCTTTAATATATAACTGTAATTTTTACACTTTTTATATATAATACTATAATTATTACCGTAGTTTTTTGCGAAAATCGCGAGGTCTCATATCGGGTCTTCTTAATCCTAAGTGGTTTTACGACAAAATAGTCCTGTAAGTCGAAAGGAAGGTCGACACACCTCGGACCTATCAGGAAAAGGGAAGCTCGTAACCTCGTGAAAGTGTCGCATATCCTTATTACTATTACACCGTATTACGCTGTTAAGTTTACGTCATTACTGATGCCGCCATTATTGTCGTCATTACCGTAATCCTTCGCCAAGGACACACACCGGATTACGTAACGGACATTTGAAATTTTCGTGATTTCGTGACGCGTTTCTAGACCGAGTATGATTTACACGATGTGATCCGAAACACCGGCGCGCGTTGTAAATATTATACATATTTTATAAATGAAATATTTAGTGTGATTGTAATATTACGATAATGTACTAAAAGCGCACCACTCTGTACACTCCACTAAATATATATATATATATATGAGTTAAATTTTAATAAATACTTCCCAACCCGCCACATGTTGCTTTCTGTCTACTTCCCCCTCCTTTCTCCCCCTCTCTACCGCCAGTTCTTTTCCGTTAACGCACCTCCTGTTGTAACGACGCTCCTATTATTTTTAGTAAGTAAACCGGTAAATAAACGTAGAGTATATTTTATTTAAAAAAGTGTGTATATCATTCTTAGGAAAATATCCATCATACATTTTCCCCGTCGTCGAGAAAAAATATACATATATATTGCGCTTCGCACTTTATCGCACGTTGTGTATCTCTTAAATAAATCGTGACATAAAATATATCATCGTGTCCTCTCAATCTCTCTCTCTCTTTTGGTCTCTCTCTTAAGTTTCGACAACGCAGCCTCGCCGTACTTCTCCATCAGCTCTCTGACAAATTCGTCCTTCAATCTTTTCAGACATCTGTAAAAAACAAACAACACGCAAGTCCTGAACCTCGTAAAAGAGTGAGGCGAACGGGCAACGCTGCTTCCATATAGAGTATTTCTGAAACCCTGGTAGAAATTTCGTGCAATTTTTAAACAGTTAATTAACAGTCACATTAATTTCTGCCCGGTAACTGACGAATAAAACCGTCGGAATTCTGATGAAAATGTAAGTCGTTTTGTCTACAGTTACCGGGCACAAAAGTTGCGGAAAATCTGAACTCATTTACAGAACCGAAAACTGTGCAATAAATGGACAAAGAAACTATTCGATCGATCGATAAGCAAGTTTACTGTTCATAAAATGGGCAGTTTTGTTCCGATAATAATGGATATTGTGTGCTTGCTTGCTTATTATACAGTTTTAACGTTAATAAAAAGTCGTAATACGGTCGTAGACATAAAAGTTATCCGATCTTTTGTAATAAATTTCAGAACATAACTGAACGAACCAATAAGAAAACTTATGTCTTAGGAACTATTCTCTCATTGGGTCACTTTTAGGTTGCCAAACTTATTAACAAAAAGTCGGATAACCTTTGTGTCCACAATTGTACAAGAAATCCAATGTGCGTTTTTAAGATAGTCTGATGTGTTCTCATCACAATTCTGTATTATTAATACACAGCCCATTTATTGTTCGCTCATTTTGCAACTCTAATCTTACTCGTCACTTCCGCCGTTTTGTTGTTTTGTTAAATTCCGTATTTCCTCCAACTTCCTCGCCTACGTTTTGTTACGTGTTCACTCATTCTTCGCGTAATTTTAAGATCGTCTTCGAACAAATTTCATACAATTTAATATAACATAATCTTTATCATGTGTGCGGTAAACAAAATTTAATAAAACTATGTTTAGTTCTTTCCAGTTCTTGCCAGTTTTTGTGCAGTTTCGATAAATCTATGAAACGCAGTAATATTAGGCAACAACTAGGCAATTGCCTATGCGAGCTGCACATATTTTGAACCAAGAAAACTGCTTCCGATACCGAATAAAACTCTATCGGGTTTTTGTCCCATTTCCTACAGAGTATTGATACAATTAATGAGAATTCAATAATACCGGACGGTAACTGATTGAGTGTCCGGTAAAATTGCACAGGTTTCTACCGTGGGAAGAACGCGCATATATGTATTACCTTCTGTAAACGGAATCGGTCCGAAATTTGCCGATGTCTAGACTAGGGGCGTGAGGTCGATGAATAATGAACGTGTCCGGCAGAACTATGTACCTAGAAAAAAGAAAAAAGAAGGAAATCCTAGTTGTTGGTTCGAATGAAAAATACCATACACTGCTGCATTGATTTGAGTTGCTCGCCGGGCCGCATATTTCATTTAAACGGGGCGAGCCAAATTATTGCGGCTTACTTATAACCGAGCGCTGTTAAATGGGTCACGTAGGAAACTTTATTCCATCCAAATCCGATAAATCTCGTGTCATATCGCGGAGCGGATTTCGAAACTACGATGTAAGGCTCGAAATCCGGCTCCCATGATACCTGCAACAACGATCCATTCTCATTATATCCACATTTTGCATTCTCGCTCTTTCTGTGTTCATTATAAATTTTATTCGCCTTATTCGCAATAATAATAATAATCATTGTTATTCGAGCGACCGATTCCGTCCTGTCATTCTGCGCACAAAAGTGTTTAGGTGATGTTATTAAAAAGTGAATATTTCATATTTGGGGCCGAAGAATGTCAGGATGAGAAGTAAAATATCTCGAGAAGCGTTCACTCTTCGACGAACTTACTCGGATACTTTTATACGCGGAATGAACGTAGGAATTTATGTGCGTTGAGAAAATTGTATAATTCCGTTGGAAAAAATGAAGTTGACCTTCGTTTGACCTTGACGCCCCCGCCAGAAGTCAAACTTACAAGATTAGCAAATAGATCTTTCGGAGCCCTACAACTTTTGTCTGAAACATTCCTTTCAAAATCGTTCATGAGATATTCGACTATGCCCGGACTTTCGGCTATGGAACGTTACGAAAAAATGGCGTCGTATTTATGATTTACGTATTCGAATACGCACTTCGTACGGTTCCGAGCTGCTCCGCCAAACGCTGTAATTCGTGGCGGCGTGGCCCTGCGTCCAGACATGATAGCGAAACGTGTACAAAATTCCGCGTTTGAGAAACTTCAATAGTTCTTCCTTATCGGCGGGGAAATCGAATCTGCAAAAAGCGGCTTTTTCCGTTAAAACATTAAAGAAAGAAAAAAAAGGCAGTCTCTTCCATTGCAATGGCAAATAATTACCTGTAGCGTTCGGTCTCGAATGCCGGCACGATCAGAGCTACCTTGTCCGACTCGTTCACACCCAATTTATTAACGTAGCCCATGATACTTTCGTGTAATCCAAATTGCGGCAGAAAATCGATGTCGAGTTGGAAGATGAAAGGAGCCGATACGTACGACATCGCGGTGTTTCGCAAGTAATTGATGGGATAAAGCTCCTAAATTTCGACAATTCGTGGAATTAGGTTGGATTTTTATTGTCAGAAAATAACGGGAGATGCGGATGTCGATCGCATTCGACGTCTCCAGCCCTGAAGAGCGCAATCCCCGATTCTGAAATCTCGGGAACGAGACGAATGAAATATTAATTCAACGGACTTTGCTCTCCGCTCGGAAATATCGAGAGAACCGACAGTCGCTCGCGCTCTCCAGGACTGAAGACGACGTCGTATAACGACGTACTCCGTCCTTGTAGACGACGTGGTAAGCGATGTTCCGTCTCGCGCGCAGGTCCGCCGAGCCCCGCACGAAGTCCAGAAAGTTCTGCACCTCGGCGTCGGTCAGGTAAATCGCAATGCTTATGGTGCCCGGCCAGTGTCTCGACAACGCCTCCAACAGCGGTATCCTCTCGACGCTGCACTGGGTAACCAGAGCCACGTCCACCGGCGAGTACACGCTATAATCGTACTCCAAGAGGAACGGATGCGTGCGGTACAAGATGCCGGCGCCTTTCTCGAATTCCCGACACGGGCTCGACTCGTTGTACTGAAAGCAACAATGTAGCACGGCGAATCTCCGAAACTGTTGCGAAATAAAAGCAGCGGAAGAGGGGGAAGAAGGTGAGATTTCGATTCCCGACTCACTGGAGGCGCACTTTCGTGCCTGTCGCAGCCGAACAAGCGTCTCCGCAACAGATTGCCGTCCATCTCGAGAAAAAGCCGGTGCAACTTGCGGAACTCGTTGACGTGCTTGTTGCGCACCTCCTGCTTCCGCGGTGAGTTCCAATGGAGGATCTAAAAGATCGAACGATCGACCGATCAATCGATCTCTGCTCCACCGAGATGATCGTCGCCGGCAGGGACCCGGATGGAAATATCGCTTCCGGTTCGCCGGAATATTTAACGAATGTTCCGCTTTCTCGCGAGAACTAGAATTATACGAGGGTGGATCAAACGTAAACGAGCCTTTTTAAATTGCGCGCCCGTCGGCGACGTGAGGGGTTTGCAACGTTTTGGACGGTGAAGAGGGGTCATGTGGAAAGCAGTAATAACGTTGGCGCGCCACGTGCTTCTTACTCTCAGCAGCAATCACGATGAGCGAGAAAGACGTACACCCCGCAGTTGCACAACGTGTTATTATTAAGTTTCTCGTCAACGAAAATGTAAATGTTGCTGAAATTCGACGTCGTTTATTCCCACAGTTCGGGGAAAGAAGCCCTTTCATGGGCTCGGGTGAAGCAGTGGTGTAACGAATGTAAGAAAGGACAGGAGCGTGTTGAAAACATTGCCGCCGTCCCCGCACCAGCATCACAGCGCAGAACACCGAGGCTGTTCGAGAACTCATCAAAGGCGATCGGCACTTAACTGTTCTTGAAATCTCTCAGGAACTTCAGTTCGAGCTGCCTATCGGTCAAAAAGCCACGGCATTCCGATCAGAAATGTGATGCTTCTCCATGACAACGCCAGACCCCATACCGCAGCAGTAACACAATAAAAATTGGCCGATATGCACTGGGCTGTCCTAGAACATCCACCCTACAGCCCAGACCTGTCACCATGCGACTTTCATATGTTTGGGCCACTCAAGGAAGCCCTCGGTGAACAGTGCTTCACAACGAACGAGGAGGTGCAGCAGTTTGTGTGCAATTGGTTTAACACACGTCCGCGAACTTTTCATGATACCGGGATTAAAAAATTACCAGACCGTTGGAGGAAGTGTATAGATAAGATGGGGGACTATGTAGAAAAATAAGAAAACTGTAAATTAGAATTGATTTTGAAAAGTATCTGCTTTTTTGCAAAAAGTTCGTTTATATTTGATCCAACCTCGTATTACGAAGAAGGAAAAAATGCCACGGTTCCGATTTCGGTTGCGGTAGGCTTCGTAAAACGTTGGTTTTTGCTTTCCCGGGTCCCTGATCGCACAATCGCGGCGGGATTTGGGGGGTCCGCGAGGAGGACGTACGTTTATGTGGTTGGCGTCGCGATAGCAGGCGTCGCTCATCGTGCGATCGCTCAGCTGAATGTTCCAGGTACACTCGATCCTATATACAATGCCCGGCTGCTCGTTGACCACCGCGTTTATCACGTCCTGGTCGGCCAGGCTGGTCTTCGGTATGTACGCCAGCACTCGCTTGGCGACGGTCAGCCACGAGTTCGCGAATCCCCGGACGCGCAGCCGTTGGAGGTGCATCAGCATAACGCCGGTATTGAAACCCCGGCCGAGCGCCGGCCACGGCCGCTGGCCGCCGTACGAGAACGCCTTCAGGTACCAATTGCTCTGATTCTCGACCAGGCCGAGGGTCTGGCCGGGCAGGAACTCGTCGAACATTCGCCACAGCAGGCCGAGGTCGTTCAAAACCGTCACGTCCGTGTCGAGCACGAGCACCCGCTCCTCCCGTATCGCGTCCGGCAGTATCAACTTCAGCAGGCCGTACACCCCGGAATAATGCTTGTTCGGTATCCACGACACCCTCGGCACCCACACCTCCGCACCGTAGAACGTTACATTCACTGAAATACACTGTGATCAAAAAGTATCCGAAGTTGATTTTTATCAATCGAAATAACAATTCAATCGTCAAAATTCTTATAGTCCCCTTCAAAGAAGTCCACATCGCTTGCAACGCACACATGCCGGCGTTCGATAAGGTCCTGGAAACATCGCTCATACGCGACAGACGGTGTCGCCTGCAGTTCACGAAGCGATTTTTCTTTGATGTCCTCAATCGATTCGAAACGCTGCCCGCAAAGTAGTTTTTTTTAGTAGGGGGAATAAGGTAAAGTCGCAGGGGGCCATGTCTGTGGTGAATACAGGTGCTTGCGGAGCGACATTCGTTGAGTTTTTGCTCGGAAATTCACGCACAAGTGTCGAGGCATGCGATGGTGCGTTGTCGTGATGCAAAAATCCACGAGTTGGTTTCCCAGAATTCCGGCCGTTTCTTACCGATTGCTTCGCGCAAACGCCTCATGACGGACAAGTAGTATTCTCCATTGACTTTTTCACCAGTCGGAAGGAATTCCTGGCGCGCAACACCGCGATGAAAACCGATGAAAATCGAAGAAAACCGTGATCACGACCTTGACTTTTCTCGGCCTTCTTGAAACTTCTTAAATCACTCAAATGTACTTGTTTTCGATAAACGATCGCCGCCAGAAGTTTTTTTCAACATTTTGAACGCGTTTGTGAACGAAATTTCGTTTGCAACGCAAAGTTTCAAACAAATTCTTTGCTCCGTATTTTTCGACATCGTAAAAATCGTCGCACGCAAAAATCTTCACTGACATAAACAACTGCCACTCTCAAACGGCTTGAAGAAACGCCATGAATTTTTCACTAAATGTGAAGGACATGTGTACCAACTTGAAAAAGCAAACGGATTTGATTTACAGTTTTCCCGCGATTTTTACAAAATAATGTTCGGATACTTTTTGATCACAGCAGTAATCACACCGGCCGGTCAATCCGCCGCCGGCGGGCTGTGCGTATTTATTAGGTCTGCAAATAAGTTCAGACCCCCCCCCCCTTTTTACCGAAAATTATTGCGCAATCGGCGACTTAAAAAATACATCCGATGTAATAGTGTCGGAACGACTTAATCTCGCCTTTCGATCCAAGGCGAAGTGGAAACTATCGCACGACTGGCGCTTTATATCAGATCTACAAATAAGTTCTGATCCCTTTTCTGGTGCTTTCTCTCTGTTATCTTCAAATATCCGCGATATTTCAATTATTAAATTCATGTATAAGCATTCAAAATGACTGATTTCGACGTTAGGAACAGCAGGAAAATTTAAACGAAAATTTAAAACATCGTCGTGGTCAAAGTAGGGATAAATTGTATCGTTAGAATTGTTTACGAATACACCGTGTCGAACGACTTGTAGAAATGTCCGAGCTTTGAAACGACGCGCCAACTTTCAAGATGTCTCTAATAGATATCTCGCTATAGCCATCTACGGTGAATCCTCAAAACTATCGGAACACCTAATAAATAAAAAATAATCTTTCCTCCACATTTTTCCCCCACACTTACGCTGTCCCACTTAATATCCTTCGCGCGTTTGCCATCGCGAGCAAATACCTTTAATTCCAAAAACGTGAATTTTAATAAAACTTCGCGCGCGTACGTGTGTGCGTACGAGCGAGCGAGCGAATATGCGTCGAAAAATTCAATAGACGAATTTCACGGTGTTTCGCGCTTGAGAGGAAATAATTCCTTTTTATATATCGCGTATACTCCGACATTCTCTAACGTAGGGCGGATAAAAATTAGGTTTTTCACCGCACCGGTGTGTGTGTGTATGTGTGTGTGTGTGTTACAAAGAGTGGTGCGTGTCGTAAAAGCGTACAAACCATGCGGCAAGTCCCACGTTCGGAAGAGGGTCGTGAGCGTTCTCCTCGCAATTTCGTCGGCGAGCAAATGAAAGTGCAACGGATTCGTGCGATAAAACAGAATGGACTTCACCACCGTTACGAGGGCGAGAGTCGAGTTGTATCCGGCGCAGACCATGGCCACGTGTATGGTGTCGCATTTCACCTTGAAGACGTGGAACATCGTTCAGTCAGCGGGTAGACGCGTGATCGAGAGAGGAAGATCCTCACGGCCATACCTCGAAATTGTTTCCTAATTGCGACCCCTCGAGAAAGCGGCCCTCCGTCTGCGACTCCGAGCCCTCCGTTTCCAACGAGAACGACCGCCATCTCTTGCTGATTTTCGATCCTCTCTGCTCCGCGGAAGGTACTAAAAGTAACGCTCCGATGTTTTTAGTGCTCGACGAGAGGGGGAGAGAGAGAGAGAGAGAGAGAGAGAGAGAGAGAGAGAGAGAGAGATAGAGTGGCGTTTCAATTACCGTTTAACGACAGGTATATATAAAAGAGCACGAACGGTGTTAGAACAACGAAGAACCAGGCTAGCCATGATCGGACCACTCGAATGTGCTGGACATGTTTCCCAATTCGCGATATGATGCTTGCGACGAAGTTAGACTAGACGTGTGCCGGAAGGTCTACGAAAAGGAGAATCGATTTGAGGCGTACACTGGTGAAAGAAGGATTTGGTGATACATAAGAAAATTTCGTAATGGTTACTAAATCATTCGGCGAAATATTGCGGCAACGGTTACGAAATCATTCGACCGTCAAATATTCTGTCGAAGTCTCGAACTAAATGCATTTAATATCACCAGTCTTCTTTTTTCAGTGTACGTATAGTCAAAGTGCGATAGAAAGGCTTGAACTTCGATAAAAATCGATAAAATTTGTTATTACCACAGTTGCTGCGAGTTTAGGAAATAATTGATTGAATATGAAGGCTTTTTCTGGATTATTCATCACTACAGGGGTAAAATAAAGGCTTCGTCAAAGGTTAAAAACGGTCCGGTGAAATTTTGTGTTATTTCTGTGTAGGGAATGCATTGAAAAATACGCAAATATAATGTTAAATTAACCTGTTCACCTTGTCAACCTATGTTATGTATACGTTTGTATACTTTTTAACACATTTCCCGCATGTTAAAGTAACGCAAAATTCTTTATCGCATATAAATTAACGATAAAAATATATCGAAATTAACAAATATTAAAACACAGAACCGCTGCGGCCCGACTCGCCCCGCGGTGTGCATTGTGGCTCTGCAGAGATTGCGAGTGATTCCTTTTCGATGGAGACGAACGACGCTCTGTTTCGAAAGCTTTCCTAAATAGGTTGAATTAAGCGACAAGATGCCGTTAAAAATGTTAACCGAGTGAAAGCAAGAAACGACAGCACTAACAGAAGTGACATGTTTTTCATTGCAATAGAATTTAAATCAATAATATTCTTCCACCGGGTTTACAGTTAGATCTGTGAAAACATTTAATACTCTTTAGTTTGAAGAAAAAAGTGTCCCGATATCTTTGTTCGTTCCTGAGATATGCCTGCCTATAAAACTGCACTGTCTACAAAATAGGCCGCAGAATCGGGCCGCAGCAGCTCCGTGTGTTGATATTTTTTTCAATTTCTTCGAGTTCCCCCGATCGCTCGCTGCCGTGATCTCGTTTGTCAACGTCAAAAGCGAAAAAATGCATATTCAAACGTTCTTACATTCTCACGAAATACGTTGAAACAAATCGATACGTCCATTGTAAACACGAAGGCTCTCGAGATTTCGAAGGTCGGAAACGTGTCGAATTAAACGCAGAATTTTTTCACTTCGCATGCAATAGGCGTGCAATAAGTACCGTAATAGGTAAACACAGTGAGAGCACGAAGTAATCATAACACGTGCGAATTACCGGCCATAAATGAGAACGCAGTGTCACTCGGGCAGAAATTCCGGATAATTATCCAGCCGATGCGAATTCATCCGCGTCGGCGTTCGACACGCGAAGGCGGATGTTAACATTGTAAATAACGCCGGTGAACAAACGCGGCTCGATGCGTGAAATCGCGATTGACGGATCGAGAGGAGAGGCGCGGCGGCGGAAGATAGTATTTATTTGTTAACATTTATGTAATTACGATGGAGTAGATCGAGCGATGCAACACGCTCGCTGTCAGCGTCACGTATACACCCTTGATTCCCGGGCTGAATACGCCGTATATGCGTGCAATTGGTGTGCACGTGACACACCAATTGACCTTTTCAAAATATCCCCGCGCGAAACGACAATAACGGGTGTTATGCGGTAGCTGGTACGTCGAAACATTTCCTTAGGAATCTATTTGAAGCTTTGCTGCGTACAAGGCGACTCATAAATGCATGCCAATGTTTCAGGTAAATGTACACCCTGAAATAAGTAAAAGACGTCGTATGAATGCGTGTCCTGCGTACCTTAGTTTTCGACTATGCCCACGATAAATGTGCATTTATCCCTTGGAATATCAGCACGCATTTATGAATCATCCTATAGAGGTAGAAACGTCATCCACACGTCGGTAAAGTTAGAGACTGGTCGTTAGGAAATTGAGATGTTTGCAACTGAAAACGACACTTTTTATGTATGATCATTGAGGTCCTATTTTTAACTCCTACTTTTCATTCCTTCGAAAACATATTTCGGATTTTAAGTCCACTGTATACATCGAGAGAGATTTACTGCAAAAAACCAAACCCAACCATTTCCAATTCAAATTCAATCGAATTGATCATTTATCAAATACGACAACGAGTAACACAATAATGATTTCATGTTCACATTTCTCTTTTTACTATTATTAGCTAAATTGGAAAGTTTCGTCCGTTTCTTTGCAAAAAGTATAGTTTTAATTAAGGAACAAAATGAAGAAGTACGTCAATCAAAATATTGTCCATCGTTAGCAAAGACTTTTACCCATCTTTCGGGCAGTAAGCGAATTCCTCGGCGAAAGAATGATTCCATGTCTTCATAAGAATTGAAGCGTTTCTCAGCAAGTACGTGTGCCATCGACTGAAACAAGTGGTAGTCGGAAGGGGCACAGTCTGGTGAATAAGCCGCATGGGGTAGCATTTCCCAGAGAAGAGCTTCTAACGTTTCTTTGACAAGTTTTGTGACGTG